AAACAGCTGATCAGCTGTTTGTCCGCTCAGCGCGGCAGCCATGTAAATTTAAATGAAGCCGCGATCATTTAAATCGCGGCTTCATTTGCCTTTGCCTACAACCCTAATCTACATGGCTCCATCGATGGAGCCATGTAGTCTAGACACAGCCTAAATCTCCCTTGCTGCAGTTTAAGCCCATTGCTTCTTGTCCTATCCTCAGAGGCTAAGGAGAACAATTTTTCTCCCTACTTTTTGTGACAATTTTTAGATGCTTGAAAACCGCTATCATGTCCCCTTCTCAGTCTTCTCCTTTCCAAACTAAACAAGTTCAGTTCTTTCAGCCTTTCCTCATAGCTCATGTTCTCTAGACCTTTAATCATTCTTGTTGCTCTTTTCTGGACCTTCTCCAATTTCTCCACATTTCTTGAAATGGGGGCCCAGAACTGGATACAATACTCCAACTGAGGCCTAATCAGTGCAGACTAGAGTGGAAGAATGACTTTTCGTGTTTTGCTTACAACACTCCTGTTAATGCACCCCAGAATCGTACTTGCTTTTTTTGCAACAGCATCACATTGTTGACTCATATTTAGCTTGTGGTCCGCTATGATCCCTACATCCCTTTCTGCACTACTCCTTCCTAGACAGTCATTTTCCATTCTGTATGTATGAAATGGATTGGTCCTTCCTAAGTGGAGTACTTTGCATTTCTCCTTATTAAACTTCATCCTATTGACCTCAGACCATTTCTCATTTTGTCCAGATCATTTTGAATTATGACCCTAACCTCCAAATCACTTGCAATCCCTCCCAGCTTGGTATCATCTGCAAACTTAATAAGCGTACTTACAATGCCAATATCAAAATCGTTGAAGAAGATATTGAACAGAACCGGTCCCAAAACAGACCAGAGGAACCCCACTTGTTATGCCCTTCCAGCAAGATTTTGAACCATTAACAACTACTCACTGAGAACAGTTATTCAGCCAGTTATGCACCCACCTTACAGTAGCACCATCTAAGTTGTATTTGCTTAGTTTATTGATAAGAATATAATTCAAGACCGTATCAAATGCCTTATTAATGTCTAGGTGTACTATGTCCACCACTTCTCCCTTATCTACAAGATGTGTTATCCTATCAAAGAAAGCTATCAGATTGGTTTGACATGATTTGTTCTTTACAAATCCATGCTGGCTGTTACCTATCACCTTATTTTCTTCCAGATGTTTGCAGATGAATTCCTCAATTACTTGCTCCTTTATCTTTCCTGGCACATAAGTTAAACTGACTGGTCTATAGTTTCCTGGGTTGTTCTTATTTCCCTTTTTATAGATGCCCTTTTCCAGTCTCCTGGAATCTCTCCTGTCTGCCATGATTTTTCAAAGATGATAGCTAAAGGCTCAGACACCTCCTTTATCAGCTCCTTGAGTATTCTGGGATGCATTTCATCAGGCCCTGGCGACTTGCAGAAATCTAACTTTTCTCAATAATTTTTAACTTGTTCTTTTTTTAATTTTATCTTCTTAAACCTACCCAATTCTCACTAGCATATGTTAGGCATTCTTTCATTATCAGACTTCTTGGTGAAGACTGAAACAAATAAGTCATTAAGCACCTCTGTCATTTCCAAATTTCCTGTTATTACTTCTCCCTCCTCACTGAGCAATGGGCCTACCCTGTCCTTGGTCTTCCTCTTGCTTCTAATATATTCATAGAATGTCTTCTTGTTACCCTTTATGCCTGTAGCTAGTTTGAACTCGTTTTGTGCCTTTGCCCTTCTAATCTTGCCCCTGCATACCTGTATTACAGGCAGTCCCCAACTTACGCGGATCCGACTTATGTCGGATCCACACTTACGAACAGGGCTTTCTCGCCTCGAAGCTCGCAGGCAGTGGTCAGCCACCTCGACCTCTGGGGCGAGAAAAGCTGCTCCCGGTGCCCCTGGTCTGCTGGGGACCGTCTCCAGCAGAC